ACTTTACTTAACTTAACTTAACTTCACTTCACTTTAATTAACTTAACTTAACTTAACTTAACTTCACTTAACTTCACTTCACTTAACTTCACTTCACTTCAATTCACTTCACTTCACTTCACTTTATTACACTCCATTCAATTCAATTCTATTTTACGTTATTCTACTCAACTCTACTCCACTCCACGCTCTTTCAATTCAATTCCATCCACTCAATTCAACTCCACTACACTTCACCTCGACTCAATTCACTTCACTTCATTCCACTCTGTCCACTGCATAGTCACGTCTGCCAGTGGAGCGTTATGCCACTTACGACCCGGTATCAAATCATGTTGAGGGCGCCAAGTCAGGGCCTAAAGCGACGTCTTTTCTTTTTGAAACTTGCCGAAAGTCTCGAAAAGTGTCCACTTGGGAAATGGGAAATTACTAAAGGCGAATGAATTCACTTTTCTCTTCTCCTATGCAAACCGTCGGCTAAACGAGTCTTCAGACAACCGGAACTCACTGAAACTCAATACTTTTGGTATCGCAATGTGGGCGTCCTGACAGGATCGAGTTTATTGGCAAACACAATGTTTGTCTCGTTGTTGTAGCGAAGTAGCGGTTTGTGACTAGTTTTGTGTCTCTCTGAAAGTCACTCTGCCCGGCCAGCCGCATCGTCTCATCTGTTCTCCCAGCAGGATTCGAACTCTGACCATGTTAGTGAAGCGACCGACGTGGTTCATCCTCACTCCACATTTCTCTTTGGGATATTTAGTACCGACTGATAATTGTGCGCACTTTTCACCATCAACTGGATAGACTACTCATTATTTTGTTAGTACGATCGTTGTTCTTCAGCAATCCAAATCCCATTTTTTCTAGATGCATCCATATTGGGATTATTCGAATTGACTGGCGGTGTGTCTGCCTCATGACCCGCAAGTTCAGGGTTTGTGAATCCGCTGGAAGGACACATGACGAACATGTAGGCCTGGCTGGCGATGCGAACAGCCCTTCGGGCGGCCTGGCAACACGGACCCCAATGCCACTCTCAGACATCCTCTCTGCTGCTGGCCGGGCAGAGTGACTTTCAGAGAGACACAAAACTGGGCACAAACCGCTACTTCGCTACAACAATGAGACAAGCATTGTGTCTGTCAATAAACTCGATCTTGTCATGACGTCAACATTGTGATGGCGAAACTATTGAGTTTCAGCGAGTTCCGGTTGTCTGAAAACCCTGTTAGACGACGGCTTGGATAAGAGGAGAGAAGCGAATTCGTTCGTCTTTACGAATTTCCCATTTCCCGATAGTACAGTTTTTGAGACAGTCTGACCGAGAGCTGATCTTGAATTGTGAATGAGGCTACGATCCTGCATCACTTTGGTGCTGTTGTCCGATTCCTCATACCTACTAACTTTGTCAGTGTGTATACGTTAGAGCATGCTTCTCGTCCAGCCTGAACTATGGTACCAAATCAGTTCGGGCTTGCTATTTGTTCCAAATAAATTTGTCTTTAAGTAAAAGTTTTAAAATTAACTAGTCGCGAAGTGTAGCCTGCGATTTCATTGTTTGTTAAAAAGACTTTTTTGAGCAGAATTTCATTCTTTATGAAGCAATGCTTTGGCTGGTCGCACTTAATTACGAGGACCGATTCTTGTTATTCTTGTTATTCCACGAGGCATCTTCCATTGTTTCGGGCGAAATGGGCTGATCCTTCGTCCATCGTAAGACGGACATCCTCAGAGCTGAAACGCGTTCCTGTAAAAGTGTCAAGTTAACAAACGCAACATCAAGCAGACTTTCTGGTTCTATTTTACATCTTATGAGTACTCATAACTAAAACACCAAATGGTATAAGTATAAAAAGATTGTGCCAATTCCTTTTCATACTGGTCATGGTACACAAAATGGGTCCCAAATCAGAGAAACTCGAAAAGAACGTAGCCTCAACGACATGCAAAGCCGAGATTGCGTAATCCCTTAAGCAACTCTGGCCGAGAAGATGAGATGCAAGCTTGTGCCTAGGGCAGTGAGCTTTCGAGGCCGTCAATCATAACTTGTCAGTCTGGGGTCATTAGGACATGACCAACCTTTTGGACGGCAACTAAACACCCTCTCTCTCGTTCAATCTTTCAATCAAGCATAAGTAATATGAGATTTATTCACCCAATTTCGCTTAAGGTGATGAATGACTGGTAGAAGAAGAATTTTCCCACAATCATATGAGTTGAGCTGACGTTT